GAGAGAGAGAGAGAGAGAGAGAGAGAGAGAGAGAGAGAGAGAGAGACAGCGCGCGCAGCAGTGAGAACAGGAGCGAGAGCGAGCTAGCAGCGGTGTGTCTCTGTGGAGAGCCGACAGCGCACGCAGAGCAGTGGCAGGCTATTCAGCAAGTAGTTGACGATGCTTGATGATGTGATGGCACAGCGCTGCATAGCATGCTGATTCACACTCTACACATCATAGCGAGAGAGAGAGAGGGGGAGAGGAGAGAGAGGGGAGAGATGGAGAGAGAGCGCGCGCGAGGGGAGAGAGGGGAAGAGGGAGAGAGAGGGGAGAGAGGGGGAGAGAGAGCGAAGAGAGAGCGCGCGAGAGGAGAGAGAGGGGGAAAGGGAAAGAGAGGGAAAGAGAGAGAGGGAGAGAGAATGCGCGAGAGGGGAGAGAGGGGGAGAGGGAGAGAGAGGGGAGAGAGCGCGCGAGAGGGGAGAGAGGGGGAGAGGGAGAGGGGGAGAGAGAGCGCGCGAAAGGGGAGAGAGGGGGAGAGGGAGAGAGAGAGGAGAGAGAGCGCACGAGAGGGGAGAGAGGGGAGAGAGAGAGGGGAGAGAGCGCGCGAGAGGGGAGAAAGCGCGCGAGAAGGGAGAGAGCGCGCGAGAGGGGAGAGAGGGGGAGAGGGAGAGAGAGAGAGAGAGAGGGGTGAGAGGGTGAGGGGGAGAAAGAACACCCGAGAGGGGAGAGAGGGGGAGAGGGAGAGACGTAGGAGAGAGAGGGAGAGAGCGCGCGCGAGAGGGGAGAGAGGGGGAGAGGGAGAGAGAGAGGGAAGAGAGCGCACGAGAGGGGAGAGAGGGGGAAAGGGAGAGAGAGAGAGAGGGGAGAGAGGGAGAGAGGGAGAGAGAAAAGGGAGAGAGGTGGGAGGGAGAGAAAGCGCGCGAGAGGGGAGAGAGGGGGAGAGGGAGAGAGGGGCAGAGGGAGAAAGAGAAGGGAGAGAGAGAGGGAGATGGAGAGAGAGACAGAAGGGAGAGAGGGGGAGAAGAAAGAGAGTGAGAGAGAGCGCGCGAGAGGGGAGAGAGGGGCAGAAGGAGAGAGACGTAAAGACATTAATGCACATGTACCTCCTCGGGGCATTCCGAGACGGCGATCGAATCGCGCATGCGCACCCCCCCACCACCACCACCAGCAGCAGCAGCAGCAGCAGCAGCAGCAGCAGCAGCAG